GAAGGTGCTTATTTATTTAGGAGTTATTAATATAAATTTTGTTGCAGACTTAGTAGGTTTCTGAGCACCGTTAATTTAACTGCTTCACAAGTTTTTTCTCTAAATATAAACACCTTATTTAGAAATCCTGATCCTTTGATATTGATTGCATTTTCATAGGGTAAATAAATAGGAGGATTTTAGGAAGGTATAGATGCATAATACTGTTTGCCTTAATAAGACTTGGATTTATTACATTCGTGGTTTTCTGGAGTTAAGTGATTGTAATGAAATACATGTATTTATTGTAGCATAATTTCTGATTCTATTAATATTTTTTTTTCAGGATTAAGTTAATTATGTTGCTGAAAATAAGCTTATGAAATGCTTTAAAAGCTTTAAATATCTTGTGTGTAGTTGCGATTTGTATGTAAACCATGCATGTTAATCTTCTGGGCCTGCAAAAAATTGAATTTTGCTTCGTTTCTCCCAAACTTTCCCAATGACTGGGAGAAAATTTGGAAGTTTTCTAAGTCTTGTTCTTTTGTAAGTCACCCCTCAGCCTTAAATAGCAATTTTAAAGAAAGCTAATTATCTCTTCCAGATTTACTGTTTCTTCTGGGACTCACTTCCTCTGTGTGCATAGTGACTGAGCTAATAAAGAAGTTTGAAAGAAGCAAGGAAAAGATCCAGAAACGTGGAAGTACTTCTTCATCAACTTCGTCTTTTCTTGATGTATGATGCATATTGCATTCTTGTGTTTGCAAACTTAGCGATTGCTGTCTAAAGATGTTGGAGAAAGCAAAACAATATCTGGAGGATAAAGAAATCCTAAGGGCTTTTGACAAGTCCTTTGTTCCACTGGCTAATGACGAACTTCATGTTTCAAGACTGTTTAGAATTTAACTTCCAGCTGTGGAAGTAACAAATGAAATTATGCAACTTTGGTAACATTTTTCCTCAAACATAAATTTACTTTTAAGATTGAATGGTATTGTGGGGGGGAGGGGGCAGGGGTTAATTTAAAGGAAGATCTAAGCCCAAGTCCCATTTTCTGCACTTAAAAGATATAACTGTGTAAAATCCTTCTCTTAGATATTAATATTTTAGTTTGTTTTTATTTAAAGCATTGTACTATTCTACTTTTATGGTGGTGGGACTTTGCTACTAATACAAGGATAAAAATATTTCAGAGGCATTCCACTTGGTTTAGTCTGTCACAAGAGTGCCATATTCTAGCTACTGTATTTATTTACTTTATTCTGCGATGTATAAGCGGCTCAAGTACCTTGTGCTACAGTTTTTTTGTATCCCAAGTTTGGTTTCTTTTTGCACAGGATGTGACCGCTGTCGGATCACTGTTTTTCTTTTCTTTTTCTGTGATTGAAAAGCCTATACTGCAATTTGAAGTAAATGTTTGCTTTTCTTATAAATGTGTTGTCTCTTTGTTTTAAAAGAAACTGGCATTTACACCAAATGAATGAGCTTGTTCTGATATGATTGCAGTTGCAGGCTTTGTTTCATGTCTTGTTCCAGATTTACTGTAGCTTATGACTGTTAGATCACTTGAGTGATTTTAAGACAGTAGTTATGGAAATAATTTGTAGTGCACTGAATTAGAAAATTAATGCAGGCAAAAATACCTCATCCCTCTCAAAGAAGCTTCGTTTTCCATCCTTCTTCCTTCCTTCCTGTTCATAAAAAAAAAACTTATTCCTGGTAGGTAACTTTAAATTTTAACCCACAGAATTACTTTTGGAGCTAGAAAAGCATTATAATAGATTTATTTTTAACTTTAAATTTTAACCCACAGAATTACTTTTGGAGCTAGAAAAGCATTATAATAGATTTATTTTGACATTGTAAAAGTATTTTTAATCTATTACAATGTCTGAATACTCTAATATTCACTAATTGGAAGCAGTATTTTTCTTGAAAATAGTCTTGCCCTATTATCATCAGTGTCATCTCATCAGAGAAGAGAGTGTCATCGGTGTCATCTCATCTTCCTTTCAGGAAATTCAAGGAACTATCTCCTAAAGAATATTTAGAAGAGGATGTCTAAAGATCTCTGGGGGGAGTCAAAGACACACTGGTATCCCTTGTAAACTTGTGCATGTGCATCTCTCCGCACTGTAGCCTGAAAATGTGGCAGTGGCGTTGGCTCTGGCCCATGCTGTCACAGTGGTCATCCTGTCACTTGAGGAGGAACTGTCATGAACAGACACTGGGATATTTCTGCATTTGCCATTGTGACTTGCCCATGTGCCATGCTCAAAAGTGCAGTGTGAATTTCTCTGCTCATGTTACTGGAATTGTCTTCTACTTTTTGCCTGTGGGATTCCTAGACTTTGCCAGGAAATGGGGCTACAGAAACAGGGCATGAGTGCATGCTCAGCCTGCTTTATATATGCAGTTCATCCATGGCTCTTCCTGACCCTCAATAATACCTGGACTACCAATGTGCTGAGATGTGATTGTGTAAAGACAAAGATCCTGCAGCACCTGGCCCTCATCTCTTCCCGGGGTTACCACTGAGCTGGGAGGGCCTGAACAACATGACCTCTTACAGGAATGTTCTCGTGTCTTCAAGCAACAGTAAGTTCCTTACTTACAGCAGTTCTGCCTTTCAGAAGTTGGACAAATTTGACAGTTTTTGAACAGTTAATGTCTTTGGCAAGTAAGTCTTTTGGCTGGGGCTGTAGCTGTTCAATATTGTACTGTGTTCAGTACTTCAATACAATTTCAGAACACTTCATTAATAAAATCCTTAGTATTCATTAATAAAGACAAATAGCAAAAGCTGACAGTGCATGCTGATGAAGAATCTCAAAGAAACTTTGATTTTGGGAAGAGACAGCAACTATACCTTTCACATAGTAAGTCTTAACTTGTGGTTGATACTCTGCCATGGGATTCGACTGCTTTGTGCTCTGCTCTTGCTCTTGGAGTCCCAGAAGTCTAGGTAAGTACAGATAAGTACAGATGAATGCTAGATTATTGTCTTAGCTTGGAAGTGCCATTGCAAAGTGTAAACAAATGTGTTACCAAGTGTCCCTTTTCCAGCACAAGTCCCACTTTCTGAATAAGGTGTATCATTTTAGACAAGTAAAATAAATTTCAGTCTCCTAAGGACAATTTTGCCGTATTGCAGGGTGGGCTTAGTTTAATGTAATTCACTTAAATTTGCCAGAAGTTTTGCTGCTGTGTTTTCCAATGGAAAGCAAAATACTAACAAGTAGTAAATCTAGTTCAATGTCATTATATGTAAAAAATGTCTGGACTGAATTCCATTGTCATTATTTTGGTTCCTCTTGTGATTCATTACCACTTTTACAGCATGTTTCTGAGGTTTGTTTTTTTTTCCAGAGCAGTTGAATCAATAGTGGGAACTTTCCATAAGAATTAAGAGGCATTTCTTATAGGGTGGAAATAAACAACAACCAAGGAATTTACAAAGAACTTTGGTTCTAATAAGTAAAGACCCTTTTTAAAAAAATTTCCTACAAAGACAATGGGAGACCTATAATGAGTCAAAAAGAAAAACTCTAACACTTTAAATTCTGCATGGTACCTCTAGAATCAGTAATTATTTTCTTCAGCCTACAGGACTGGGTTTTGCAATGAGTGTGTATAATTTCATCAGCAATAAGGAACAGCTGAATTCTGCATTGCGAACATATTTCTCCTACAGTAATTCTTAATAATTGAGGCAGCTTTCCCAAAGGTATTCTCAAAATGTCACGTGGTCACAGCAGTATTTTTATCCCAAAGTGGAATATTTGACCTTATTCCAGTCTTCTGAATTATCTAATTGAAAATATGACTTAGCAAGTCTCAAGAATTTTTATTATCCAGCAGTTTTCTGATGTGGGATTCAGAGTAATGAAGATCTCTTTTCTCACCAGCACTAATGATGTGGAATCAAACACACCTGTGTTTTTATATTTAAGACCTATTTTGCATGTAACTATTTCTGATGATTAAAAACTCCAAGGAATTACAAACTTGGGAAAATAAAACATATGGGATCATAATGGAGAAGAGGATGATTTGGACAACTAAGAATTTCAGTTTTAGTTAGTAAAATCAGTAACTTTAACCCCTTTCAACTTTTAAATAAAAGTAATCTGATGGAAATGTACATAGAAACCTAGAGAAACGGGCTGTGAGGTTCTGGCTTGTGGTGTGGTTGGGTGTATGTGCCATCTGCTGGTAGTTCAGTAAGCAGCAGCTTTTGTACTGGGAAAAAAATTACATCTTTCTAGGACAGGCTGTATCTCAAAACTAGTTTTCTCTTTAATGTAACTTCTTACAGATTTTTTCTCATTGACTGCACTTGGGCAGGTATCAACACTCACCTGTATGATATAGGAGATCTTTTCTCTAAATCCTAAGATATGGTGAGTTACTTCCATGGGAACAGTTACTAGGGAGCATAAACAGGACTGAAAACTTGAGCACACAAGGCAGGAATCAAGTTTGAATTCTGGTAAGTTATGGGCAAAACCTGGATGATTAGAAGAGGAAGTCAGGATCTGCCTACATGCAATACAAGGTTTGTGGATTCTTGAGAAGAAAAAATCCAAATGTAACTGTATGTTACACAGGGAAAACCAATAGTTTCATAAGAAAAGCATTTCTAAAAATTGACTGATTATGCTGGAAAGTTTGCTAATACAAAGCACTGAGAAGTAGATGATGTAGGATTCCAAAAAAAATTATAAACTGTTTTTCAGTATTACCATGTTGATAGCAAGGGTTTGTCAAGTAATTAGTGTACATAGGGGAAGTCAAAACAGATCTGGTTTTTAATATAGCCATTGTTGAAAAAATAAGAGTGACAACAGCTTAATAGCAGAGGATTATACACATTACTGTGACAACTACTGAGAATTAGCAAACCTGTAGAAACTTGCTCCCATCTGACAGCTTTGTGTGTGCATGTAACTCTTTCTTTAAACATATTAGGGGGAAGGGGGAGAAATAAAATCTGATGTTTCTCCCTGAATATTGACAGAACCTGTAATATTTCAAGCACAACTTAGTTATCACTGAGCAAAGCTACCTCTCCCTGCAAGTAAAAGTACTCCACTAGTAATGACAGATTTTACAGTATTTTTAAACCTGTCAATTTCTGTTTTAATCTCAACTGTTAGACTGTGACCACTGTGTTGTTCCAAGTTTAAAGTTGGATTTTTTCTAAATGAAGTATTCAGTGAGATGAGGCAGAGCCAACCAAATGATCATGAAAAGAACTCCTCTAAAATAGTCCTGCTTTGAAATGTTAAACAGCTTTGTTCTAATTTTCAATTAGACTGATGCCCTTAAAGAAAAACAAAACACCACAATTTTTATACGCCATTTCTTTTATACAAATGTTAAGTTACAAAAAGGTAAATAATAAAAATAATCCCCTGAAGCAAGTTTTTTGGTAAAGTTTGAATCAAGAACTTGTGTGGGAAGAGTTGAGCAAATTCCAATACAGTCACATATTTTAATGTTACTTCTTTCATCAGCATGGAAGTTATTCCAAGAATAATGCTTTCAGTCATCCACTTCCAGTGATGCAAACCTATTAACACTGCATAAATGCTGAGTTTCTGGCACAGCACATTGGGTGGCTGTTTTTTTCTTATTTGATGCTTTCCTCTTTTTGCAGGACTCTGATCTGGTCTTGGTCATCTTTTGAAAGAAGTCTGGAGATACCACTGACTCCACTGTATTTAACAAAACCAGATAAAGATGACCCATTTTTGGAGATAAGATAAACAGATTTTCCACTGAAGGTGCTGATTTAAGCTCTTGATACAGTCTGTGCACAAGGGTCCCAGTGTAAAGCCTGCTCAAAAGAAGGAGATAATCTGCATTTAGAATTGCACCTCAACAGGACAGGTACAGAAACATACTACTTGATGACAGACACATACAGCACCCAACAGTCAACTCCTATACTAAGAGTATTTTTCTTAATAATTCCTTTAAAGGAGGGTATTCTACTGTAAGTACTGGCCAAAGGAGTTTGACAGAGAAAATGGAAACATGTTAACACATCCCTTCAGGGGCTTGTGTGGAAAGCAGATCTCTGGAACACAACCTTACCTACTTAGGTCTGGCTCAGAGAGAGGAGTACCAAGTAGCTGGTTGAGATACAATCCCATCTGAAGACAGCACTGCCATTGGCAAAAACTGTGTGCAGCATCTAAATCAAAGTCATTATTTTGCAATTTCTTTTCCTTCCATTTTAGAAATTCGTTATATGCCACGCTGTCATCTTCGGCAGGTAGAACTGTGGGATCTAGGTTATAAATAAAAAAATAACTTGGAAATAAATGTTCTGCTGTGAACAGTACAAAACAGTACAAAAGGTGGGTGGAGCCAGGTGGGGTGGTCTCTTCTCCCAGGTAACAATTGATAGGGCAAGGAGAAATGGCCTTAAGTTGCATCAGGGGAAGTTTAGGTTGGACATTGGAGGAATTTCTTCACAGAAAGGGTTATTAGACACTGGAATGGGCTGTCCAAGGAGGTGGTGGAGTCACCATCCCTGGAGGTGTTTAAGGAACACCTGGACGTGGCACTCATGCCATGGTCTGGTTCACAAGGTGGTTTTTTTTCAGTCATGAGTTGGACTCTGTGATCTCAGAAGTCCTTTCCAACCTAATTGATTCTGTGTGATCAAACCCCAAGGTATAAACCCCAACAGGTATAAATATTACTGAAGCTTGAATTACTGAATTTCTGTGATTGTTTAATACTTTCAGATTTGCAATGCATAGGCAGGGAAAGTGTGCCTGGGCAACTCAGCATTTTTAAGTACAAATGATTTTAGAAAAACTCAAAAGCAAAAAAAAAAAATTAAAACACTTCAAAAGTAGCTTTTTAATGCCTGAGTACATTAAGCTTACTTTTTGTAACTTTTATATCTGAATTAATATTTTGATCCTAAAGAAAGTACTTATAAATGCAAATTAATGTTTTACATTGTGGTAGTGGTTTACCTATACAAAATGTTAAATTTATGGTTAGCACTTTTTCTTTGTGTATATCACTGCAAAAAGTGTGACACCTCAGAATATAATGTAAATCAAGGCTAATTCCTCTAAATTTGGACAACTCCCTATAAGGGCAGAAAAATTAATTATGGTCTCGATTTCTGTAGCAGCTGAACACCTAAAACTGTATTCTTTAGAGACATACCTGGATCTTCAGTTATCCTCTGCAGTTCTCCAGAAACTATCATTAGAAGCAGAGCCTTTAATTGGTTCAGCTTAACTTTTGGTTCTGAACAACATATCCAGTAACATGTTACAGCAATAGGGAGTTGTAAATGACTTGGGATAGATTCTAAGAAACTCATTTTCACTCCCAGAGTCTCCAGCAAAAGCATCTGGCGGCACAACACAGGCACCTGAAAATAAATTTAAAAATTGAAGGTAAGAGATTCACTTGTGAGCAATTTCTAAAAGGCCAGTAAGTTCCTGGTTAAATTAGTTACTGCTTTAGGTTTTTGACACACAATTATTTAATTTTCACAGGTATTCTGAATAGGAAATATTTTTTTAAATACTACTTAAAACTTTAAAAATGACATAGTTAAATATCAGGTGGAAAGACAAAAGTAACTAATGAGTAATTAATTCTTAGCACATGTTTCCTTTTTGCTGAGCCATTTAACTTCCACGAAGTGGTGTTAAAAACTCTGTCCATAACTTCATGCATGCAGAATTACAGCAGGCTGCTCAGATGCAATCTAAGCGCTTTGTAAACCTTGATTAGGATTGTTTTGCCTACTCTTAGGCAGAAGTCAGTTTTGCCTGGAGCACTTTAAATGCTGAACAACATTTAGTTCTTCTAACCTCTTGCTCAATTGATAATTCCCATATATTCACTAAGGAAAATTGTTGTAGTAGCAAAGCTCAAATTCATTAAACAAACAGCAGACACACCAAGGTTGAAGTAAGGTGTCATTAATGTCTCTGAATACGAAACTTGATTTTTCAAACTCATAAGTGTTTTGTATTGTTTAAAAGGCGTGTGCCAATAACCTAAGTAAAGTAATCTGTACTTTGGACTAACAGCTATTGTAGCATTTAATGGTGTAGCAGTTAAGACAGACTAACTGTTAACTGATAGACTTGGTTCCTTTACAAAGGAGCCAGCAGCAAGTGATAAAAACATTCAGCACTGTCCACACACAAAGATGTGTTAACAGTCAATCTGAACTCCAGAACGGATAGAGCATAGAAAAATGCAGAATTAAAACACACAGATTGTATTTCGAGACGTCGCAGAAATTTCTGCATACATAACCTCAGTTATGCAGCTTCGAGAATGGGAGACTACTTCCCATTATGGCAACAGTTACAGTCTTAAACATTAAAATTTACACAGAAGTGCTACTGGAACTGGAACTAACCTAGTACAACTTTCCTGTGATTTTCAGGTGCTGTTCTGCTCTGTCTGGCAAGCTTCAGAGGTTCATGTTAGCAGGAGCATATTTGGGACAGGTAAAACTGCTGGGCAGCTGCAACATTCACACGTGGAATATTGACTTCTAGTAAAAAGGCATAGGTCAGATTTTGTTTCAGAACACAGCTATGAACCATTTCACAGCTTGATCAAATACAAATTAGATTTTGTAATGTTAAAATTGGACTTTCCTAAACTACATGAAACTGAATTCCTTCCCATAAAAAGCAAGTATTATTGTTACAAAATACAAAGGATGAAATAGGGCCTTCTAATGGAAAATGCAGGGAGTATTGCATATATCCACACTACAACTTCTCATATAACTTGTCTTCGTACTCTTGGAGGGGGGCAGGAAGGGAGATGAAGACAACCTGGTATAATTTCTTAAATATCACAGACACTTTTGTGTTAAGTAGTTACTTACTGAGGTGGCTTAGTTCAGACATCACATTTAGTGGCCAGATGGCAAAAGTGAGTCCCAACTATTTTTGTGTCACTCGTGGAACACTGTTACTGTGATCTGTCCTGACAACCATTTACCTCCATTAACTTGTCCAAAGGAAAACGATCATCACAAAAATCTGGGGGTAGGCTTGCTGCTTGAACAAATGTTTTTTTAAGTGTCTTTTGGCATCTGTCAAATTCACATACAGTGGGCAGCTCGTTGGTCTGCTTACTTGGAGAATCATCTTCGGTACTGTGAGACACTCTCAGCAGCAGTCCATAGATAACTTGTCGGATGGGCAAAGCTGTGCTGTGAGCACTGGGTCTCTGCATGTTCTCCACCTGAACGCGGAGGAAGGTGCTTCTAAGTATCAGGGCATTGATGACGAATGGGGCCAGCTTACCTTTTGCCAAAGCATCGAATACCCACTGTGGTACGTCTGCTTTCCTGGCAGCCTCGCACTCATAGCTCCCATTCTGAAAGAAGTCCTCAAGATTCACGTCAGACGGAGCATAATCCTCCATTGAAGTGCACAGAAGCTCCCGTATTTCTTCCCTCTGATGTTTCTTGAGGTATTTCAGCACGTTGTCGACGGCCTCGGCGGGCTCCGCGAACTGCGCCAGCCAGTTCAGCAGTCCCTGGAGGCGGAGGTGCTTCCCGCCCCGTCCCGCCGCGCAGCCCCTCGGCAGGCGCACCTTGCTGAAGAACGCCTCCAGCGCTCCCAGGCCGATGTAGTCGTTCCCGTTCATGACGGCAAAGAGCGGGAGCAGCGCCTTGCTCAGGTGCCCGAAGTGCCCGCAGAACCTCTCGGCGGAGAAGCAGCGCGCGGGCACGTAGCATCCCTGCGGCCCGGCGGCGGCGCGCACGCTCTGCCACTGGAAGTGGGACAGCGGGCAGTACCCGCCCGCCAGGTCGAACACGAAGAAGTCGCTGTCTAGGGAGAGGACGGGGCAGCCCCAGCGGTTGGCCAGCCCGGCGATCTCCCGGTCGGCCTCGGCGAAGCACTGCAC